CGAAATTGATCCAACAATAAACGAATCTTTAGATTATAATGTTATTGCTTATGGTTTGAATTCTGATGAGTATGTTAATAAAAAATATTTAGGTCCTGATCCATTTTCTTCTAATAATACTGAATGCACTTCTCAGGTATGTAAATAAGAAAAAAATTTTTTTTTTTAGAATTTTTAACTAATGAATTAATTTATATTATTTTTTTTTTATACAAGTTAAATTTGTAACTTCAATAGATATTAAAGGAATATTAACTAGTTAATGATATGTTCTACTTATTTTAAACTGATCAATTATAAAATAAATAGTTAAAATAAACTTCAAGCAAATTTCCTAATATATATAAACTTATTAATATAATTATTTTCTTAAATTTACATATGTATTTTTTACTTTTTTTTTTTTTTTTTTTTTAAATGTATGGTAGTTTCGCTAAGCCTTTATTGAAATGATAAATTTATACAAAAGTATAAAAAACAGATACATAAAATAACAAAATTTTCTATTTACTCTAATCTAAATTGTTATCAATAAAAAGAAAAATGAATCAAAACCGATCTTGCATATTTCTAAACTAATTACCTGAAAAACAAATAACCTTAACAATTTAAGAAAAGGGTTTAGTCACTACTGATTCAAGAATCCAATCAAGAAGCACCATAGTAAAATGCATTAATAAATTGTGAAGATATATCAAAAAGATGTTTAGAGAATGATTTAATAAATTCTAAAACATTTCAGTTGTTTTTCTTTCTGCTGAGATAAATATTATGGTGTTTTTTATATGTATTAAGTAAAGAGCATCTATTTTTTCAGATGTTTTAATACATTTATATGCATGATGATAGATTAAGAACAAAATGGTATTGGTGATTTGTTTAGAGTTTGTTAATATGTTGATCTTGTTAAATAAGGATTGGGATATAATACCTTTAATCATATCAATAAATGTAAATTGTGAGATATGTGATAAAAAATCCTATATTTCATTAATCAGAGAGATCATAAAACATCATCAAAATATTATCAACGCCTATTATTTTGTTATAAAGTGATAAGAAGGAACCTGTGAGTTGAAACTATAGTATTATAGGCAATGTCTCGACTAACTGAACAAAGTCATATATGATTAAAATCTTCTTAAATAATGTCATATGGGAACGTTTCTAGTAAAATCAAGTCATTAGGTATAGTAAATCATATGATCCGTAATGTGATTTTACTAGAAACGCTCCCATATGCTAAGCAATGGAGGTTATGGGAATAAAAATTGAGATATCTGTTTTTAAGTATAAAGAGTGTTGAGACCATTTTAAGGAAAAGTTTCAGTTTTTATTTTTTAAGATAAGAGGTCTGAAAGGATGTGGTCAATAAATTTTCATTATTATTCAGTACAAAACAGGTAGCAAACTAGTATATAGATTGCTTTTCATATTTAATGAAGTGTGAAGAGTCAATAAATTGTTTAAAGCGTGCAACCTAGCATACAGGGTTGAAAAGTACAGTGTTAGTATAATGATTAGTACATTTAATACAGTTAGTATACTATAATAATTAATATAAAAATTAGCATAAATACAGTATAAGTATAATATTAATTTTATCTAATACATATAAAATTCCCAACACTATCAGCATTAAAGATGAGCACTATAATTAAGAAGTTGCAATTCGGTAAGTTGCAACTCCTTGTAAATTTATTTTAATATAAAAATTCATAAAATGTTGTAACTTAAAGTGTTGCAACTTAAGTTGCAACTAGTTAAAAATTTTAAAAATAATTGTGGGAACCATCTTTAGTCGGCATGCCTCTTTAAGAAATAAATGAGGTGAAATATAAACTGAACTTTATTAGTAATAGAATACGTATTTAATTCAAGGGCGTTAGTATCGTAAGATAGAATATTGGTAGAATTGCAGTCTTTTGTAAGTATATCAACTTTAGTATTATGAGCATCAGTTTCATGAGCCTGTATTTTAGTAAAAACAATTTTAAGTTATTTAATATAGATCAACTTGAATAGAGTATGCTAAATATTGTGGTAATTTATTTGTATGTTGGGTTATTGGTTGAAAAAGATGTTGAAATTTCTCAAAATTTTGAATAGTGACTATTGAGTTAGTGCAGATGTTAACTGTAACACCAAAAGGACCAAAAGGTATAGTAATAATGGTAGTTACCAGCATATAGATCTGCTAAAGAAGTATTAGATAAAGATACTTTTAAAGTAGCATTGAAGGAGATAGAGAGATGCCTGCATTAAAAAAAGAACCATTAGTATAAAACTAAAAATAAGAGAAATTAAACAGGAAATGTGCAAAATTGGAGAATGTGATCATCAAAGAAACATCAAAAAGAAAAGAAAATTAAAGAATCTATAAATAAATTTGAAAAAATAAAAGTCGATTTAAAATATGTAGTATATGTTAAGTCATAAAGCATAAAATTAGAAAATTTGTATTGAAGTCCTACTAGTTACCGACATATCGCATGTTGATTATAGCAAATAACATTAATATAAATATCAATCATTTGATTGATAAAATTTTATATGATTTTATGCTTTTTTTTTACTTTGTGATATATAAATTGTATTACATTTTTAACCAAATTGAACAGTTATTATATTAAAATGTTCATTGACTTTTCGCGAAAATTTTATAAACTTTTAAAAGTGAATGATTTAACCAGTTTAAGAAGATCTTGTTGGAAAAATTATTTATTATTTAATATATTTATTATATAAATAATTGAAACTTTTAAAATTCCTTTTTTTATATCTATTTAATACTTTTCAACTATTTTTATTTAATTTTAAACAAAAAGTTACATTATTTTTGAAATAAAAACACATTTTAAGTACAAATATAAATTTTTTTAAAATATTACAAACAAATAAATTTGCAATTATTCAACTAATTATTTAGTTATAAAACCACTTAAAAATATATTTTTGCATTTTATACAAAAATTATTTGAATAATTACTGTTAACGTGTGATTTTTACAAACCACAATGGTAGACGAGGCATTTGAGTGGTTGCTTTTTATTAGTAGCTTACTGGGTTCATTAAAATAATTGTAATAATATGTATATTTTTAAGTAAAAGAATACTTTATAAATCATAAATTATATAGCAATTAATCATTATATTTCCAATATTACACATGTAAAATAAGTTTATTAAAGATAAGATATGTATAAGAACAATAAAAATAAAAAGACAATGAAAAGATAAATAAGCATATTAGCACTGGGCTAGAGGAAATCTAACTTCCTTCCATTCCAACATTTACAAATCATCCTATTTATATAAAATAATTTACATATAAAGATAAAACTAATATATTATACATATCTAATAAATCAAATATATCTATTATGTCTGACCTGTCTAATATGTTTTATTTGTTGAATATGTCAGACATATCATACATGTCAGACATGTCAGAAATGTCAGTTATGTTAGATATGTCATATATGTTAGAAATATCAAATATATAAGTTATGTAACATTTGTTTAACATTTCTAACGTTACATGTGTAAATCATTTACAGATCATTCAGTAGATCAATTCTATAGATTGTTTTTTGTAAATCTTCTAGTAAATCAATTTTGTAAATTATGTTGATTATTTGTTGAGCCACATTTTTCTTATTATAATCATTCTGTAACATTACCTTTACAACCTAAGAAATTATTTTTCCTTATATAAAATTATATTTATTTTAACTATCAAAATCATATTTTCTTTTTAACTTTTAAGAAGATCTTAAAAAATGTAGCTTTTTAGGATGAAACTTCTTGTAATTGCAAAAAAAAAAAAATTTTAGAAGTGATGAATTATTAAAATAAATGAATAGAACTTATGACATTCTATCAATTACCTAATTTGTATAAGTAGTATATGTTAAAAAGTTTAACAGTAAACTATAAGGCAAAATTTTCAATTACTATTATACAAACAAATTTAATTATAAAATTGATCTGCATATGATATATCCAATGCTTGTTAATCTTAAATCATATTGTGATATCGATGGAAATATAAATTTACCTGATCACAAGAGGGTAGTATGTCAAATAAAGAGTTTACACCGGATTGTTAATAAATGCAAATGTAATAAAAAATGCAAATGTTCTCTGAGTCAATATAATTTATGACTTGATGAAATAGTATCTATAATTGCTTAAGCATAAAGTCGTCTAGCAGATCAATCGATAGAAAATTATATAAATTAATTCAAGAGGTAAGGTGTATTATTATTATGGATAATGATCTAATTGATCTACTGTAAATATCAAATGGATTAAGGCCATTCATAAGGATAAACTATTCTCTATTATCCACAATACTTGTCAATCCCAAAAAGGTAAGACATTCCGCTTGGCTTCTAATAAAGAGATTATATTAACAAAACTTTGAGATTGAGCCAAGCAGATGTCTTCATTACCTTTTGAGAATCAAACCAGTACATCACTTATCTGCCACCTCAGAAAAGATGTACAAGAAATTATTTGTGCATTTAAGACTGATTTTCTAGAATTATAAATTGAGAAATATCACGGTAAATCTGATTTAATGGAAAAAGCTCAAGATTTCAGAATCATAAAATGATGTAAACCTAGTTACCTATACTAGTACTCTAAAGATAGAAGTATTTTATACTAATCCTAAGTTTGAACGAGCATTCTGCATCTTTAACAGTTATATAGAAATGAATGCTGAGACAAATCAGATGTTATTCCGCATGCGATACATCAAAGATTACATATGTCATATTAAACAAAGATCTTCTAATATTCTTATTATAGAGAAAGGATTATTTCAATGATTATTAAATGCCAAATGTGAATGCCTCCCCTATGAATTTCAGAATAGAGGGATTTTTCCAGATATAGATTCTATTATCTAAAATAAAGACATGCTAACTATTTGATTGTAGGTAGCATAAATGTTGAAAATTATTTATTTCCGATATTTATTTGGTTAGAGGATGGTTGATTTTCTCCGAAAGGTAGATATAGAAGTTTCTGTTATGGAATTCGTTCTTAAACCTGAAGATACTATGATATTACTATTCCAAACAGTGAAGATGAGTTCTTCTATTGTTAAAGCAGAGGAGATATCAGATATATCTAATGCTTTAATTATCAATCATGAGACTGCTAAATTATTGGAGAATAAGCCAAAGAAGACTTTAGAAGAGATGAGTTCTTTAGACCGGTATTATATTGTGGATTAATATAGGATTCCACCTGAATTACTAATCGAAGACTTCATCTTAAAATATAAGAATTATAATTACATGAAATAGTTTAGAGCTTATAGGCAACTACGAGATGCTTATACTAATAATGAAATGGCTGTTGAGACTATTTTCTGTAAAGATTACAGAAAAGATAGACTTACAACAGCATCCTGAGCTGAGAAACATCCAATTTGCCTAGATTATTAAGGATTTGTACACCCGTTAAAGATATTAATGATAAGATACAATATAAAGCTAATGATATTAAAACATGCATAAAATCTTCTAAATCGATATCATATCTACAGAGTTTGATATCTAAAATGACTTGAGTATTTAATAATACTGATACTTTATGTAGAGTTAAAAATCAGGATTAAAAACAATACTGTACAAGGAAACTTGGTTTGCTAAATTCAGCACTATATGTGACATATGGGTTGAAATTTAAAGCTACTAATAAGAAGCGCATATATTATCATCTGGTTGGCTCATTTGATAACAAGGATGTATTCAAGTTACTTTCATATCAGACAAGAGAAGAGGTATATTGGAATAATAGGGAGGATGCCCGATATACTTATAGTAAACTTACTTCTGATGAATTAGTATTAAAGAAACTTAATAAAGCATCTTTCAACCCTAGTTCCAGCAAAGTAAATACCATACAAATTACAAAAGAAATTCAGGATTTATTCAATATGTACTAATATTATACTTCAGGTGGGATAGCTTTTTGCTAATATTTATATAATAGATTACGCAGAAAACTACTCTTAATTTATACTATTTGTTAGCATATTATTAAAATACGTTATCTGACTTTGATGCTTGACTAATAGATAGAATAACATTTATTTTGCTTACTTCTTGGCAGATAATTCAGATATCTTTATAGGTTGAAGGATCTCAGCCCATACTTCTACCTCATCTGATAATTTAACGAATCTTTAGCGAAACAAGTTTGGGAGGCGGAGAGAAATGATGATACTTCTGACAGGTGAAAATATTTAGGCAATATTCCTTATGATGAGGCTTATTATTATATTAATAAAAAACTCATAAAATTTAACTGAAAAAGTGATTATTTTAATATGCTATATAATCATACCCTTTATTCTCCTAAAATTTGGGTAGAAGAGAAAAAAAATCAATTATTATATTCATTAGATTGGATGCTCTTTGCTCATGCTAGAAAAATATTACAACAAAAAGGTTATATACCAAAGTGGTATACTATGATAAAATGGGTACAGAATCCCGAATATTATCTTAATACTAAAAAAAGTCCAGTTAGTACACTAGTAGTCAGAATAGAAATGTTGGCATAACTTGATTTGCATATTAATATTTCACCTAACAGTAATTAGTAATATAGAGATAAAGCATCCTAAGAGCATCCTTAAGAAATGTTTTCCAATGCCATATTCAATATAATTTTATAGACATAGAGCTAATCTGTAAAATATATTACCTGCAGGAGAAAACCATCTATAGATTTTTTAAAATATGATCAAAGTGAATACATAAATAAAAAATAGTTCTATATAGGGAAATGTACTATATTAGCTTCATATTTATCTGCATCTTGCCAATGGTATGTAAGACATGTATGACAAAAATAAACATGTTTCTGATTCTTGTTAAAGCTTGTGCCAATCATCTATGTGAGTGCGACTATCTATTTGTGTGATAAAATAATTTCACACATGTGAAAATCAATCTCTCAAAAAATATTTTATTTTTTTCTCTTGTGATATTCTAGAAAAATAATATATTAACTGATATGTATATTTGCCCACCTCTAGCTGAGAAACAGATTATTTCTACTATATGAGATTTACCTATTCCAACTGAAATACATTATATAAAGTTGTCAGGACATAGTTTAAGTAAACAGATGACATCTTTATGCATTATTCCCAATGCCCTTCTAAATATCGAGATCTTTAATGCGTATCTTACAAGCCCTTATTTTCAAACACAAAATTTTGGTGTAAGTCTGTTGCATATTTTCTTATCTTTTCTCTGAAATATGAATACAAGTCCAAAGAGAATGTAAATGGAATCATTTAAAAGGATAGCATACGAAATTTTTCGTTCAGGTCACTTATTTTATATTAATAATACTAAACTATATCTTCTAAACTATATTCAAAAATTTACAATTTTTTAGTAACAGTTAAATAAGAACATATTACCGTCACTTCAGTTATTTATCAGGAAATAGAAGAAGACCTGAATTTCGCAAAATGATTTGAGAAGTATTATGGATCAGGCTATAGGATTTGCTAGTAATTTGTATTCTGAAAAACCTTTGCACCAATTAAAACTACTTCAATTACTTCTTCAGGTTAGTTGTTAACCTTTACTAATATTTTTTTCACTAAATGATGATATTATGTGATCTACTCTCAGGAACGAGACTGAAATGATAATGTAATTATCCTATTAGCCTGCATCTAAAGAAACTATTTTCTTGAATTATATGGAGAGTGTTTAAACTATCGCCTATATTTTTAATCATTCTATTAACTCTGCTTCAAAAATAATTCTCGATGCATGAGGAAGTAGTTGATCCATAGAATGCTATGTAGTTATTTTAATATTACACAAGGTTCATCAGTATGATGGTCACAGTAAGATGATAACGTTGCATATGTACTGATAGCACATGTGTTTTTTAATGATAAAATTCTTGTATTGCTGAAACTAATGCATCATCTATTATATTAGTTGAAATCACTTTTGAAGGAGTCTGCAATTTGCATGAAATAGGAGCGGTCAAAACAAATAAAGAGATACCTCTAAATAAAAATGAGATAAAGAAAAATATAAATGAGTTGAAGGCCAAACTCAAGAAAAATACAATGACGCTGATTAACCAGTATCTATACTTTGGTATAGATAATGTGAATATTGCTGAATTATCATAGAAGGATCCTCTAGCTAATCAGGTAATTTCTGACAAGTCAGAAATTATACAAAATCTACCAGGACAATTTAAGCATACTTTTATGAAATCAGCATAACAAATGATACCTTCATCTCTCCCGTTTGCAGTGAAAAGGAAATGTAATGAATTTGTTATTACTTTCATTGAGAATCATGAAATTGATTTTTCAAGAAAACTTATACATGATAGGACATGAAAGGAAACAGAGAATGAGTTCGCAATAGTTGCAGAGAGAATTTTGGACACATTGTAGGTATTTTTTATAATATTTTGTAAAATCTAGTTATTTCCTGCTCACAGCTTATGTCTTTTTATGGATATTAGAAGCGATTTTTGGAATAATTCAGCATTTGGAACAAATTTTGTGATTCCCTAAATAAAGGTACTTACGTAACTAATGTAATAGTACTGGCCTTCCAAGCAACATTAAAGAATCTTCCTTTAGGAAAAACCATATTCGTTAGCAGTTCTGAATGCCAAAGTAGTGCCAGTATGGATAGAAAAGGTGATGGATGATCTGGGAGACAGCCAGATGTTATGTTTGTAATAAAATACAATGGAAAAAATTACAAATTTTTATTTACTGAATGTTCACGTTTGTCATATATGACAAAAAAAGAAAGAAATGATCAAGTGAAGTTATGGCATAAGATTAATGATAGAATGTACTGGACTTGTAAAAGTTGTAAGTCTAATAAGGATAAATTTAACATTATCAGAGTACAAATAGCTGGAAAAAAATTATGTTTGAGTGTTTTTATAAGGGATATGAGTGAAATTCATCAATATTATCATCTTAATGAATTAGAAATTTCAGTTCAACTATCAGATCTATCTATTGTAGAAAATTCATAGAAACATTACTGATATTACGAAATATTCTGATCATTAATATAGTATACTATACAATACACCTTTAAAAAGATCAAATTGCAATGTAGAAAAAAGCTTTACAATTTCTTCACCTATGTGAGATAACTAGAATTCCTTAACATTTTTTCATGTATTTTTATTATGTATTAATAAAGTGATCCTGGTGGTTAATTTCACAAATATATATTCATGTTTTTTGCTGATCATTTTCTGAGAAAACAGTTTTTGTGTATGGCATATATCGGATAATAAAATTTTCTTGGCAAAAGCAATCTGCGTTCCAAATTGGAATGGACACAATCACGTGAATAGTAGGGCAAATATGGGGTTTCTGGGACAGGATTCAAAATTGCAAAAAATATTACTCAAAAAAGATTCCTGACTGCTCACGAATCAATTTTAGCTATATAAATCAAATTATCGAATTCAAGCCTCTAGCGCATTTTAACTCAATTCTAGATGATGTTATCGAACTTGACTAGGAATTAGCCTGTCTGATACCAAGAATTACAATGTTTGATTTA